AGCCATGCAAGAACTCACGTTCGCACTTATGTGGGCCTTGTCGGTGAAAAGGGTCAATCTCAACTGAAAAGAAGAGCAAACCAGTTCTCGATCGCGGTCAGGCGCCCCAAATTTGATGACAGAACTAATCCTCAGAGACACCCACATGCCTATCCTGATCAACTAAGAGTCCTACCTCGTTTCGATAGCTGACAGCTACAACCCCGTTGGCATTGTTAGTATAACCAACAAGTGAGGTTACTCGCCGGCCGCAGAAGGTCCTTTCGGCTTTGGGCCCCGGCACGTTAGCGAGACGCCAAGATTTCCCAGACGCATACTTAGGGCCGACCAAACGAGTGATGGTGAGAGTCCGCAATAAGGGCCAATTGCAGGCCCACATAGTAATGTAGGATAGTACAGCCCCTAAGACCAGAAGGACTTGTATCCCACACATGCTCGCACACTTTCAAGACTACCTATCATCAAGGGGGAACATTTCAACCGCTGTGTTGCGTTTTGTATTGCCACGATTCTGTCGAGGGCATGGAGCTCAGCAACGGGTAAAGGTACCTGCATTCCATGAAGCGGATTTCAGGGGACAAATTTCTATGTGGAACCCACTCCGAACATTATCGAGAAATTTCTCCGCTTCGAGAACATCTTGGACCCTGTCCTAAGGTTGACGGTAAATGAGAGTCCCAAGCCGAGGCTGCTAATTTCCTCGTTAGGAATCTGAAAAGCAGGAGAGCTCTTCTTGATAATGCATCATCATAAGATTGGATCCTGTCGAACAGTAGGTCCAACTTGAAAGCAGTCCCTTCGTGTACCATAGAGATTTCATGTTTGGAGCTCACATTGGCCTGACGATGCAGATACTTCCTCGACGCACCGGCTATAATGGCAATTAGAAAATCGTTAACCGTGACATGTAAGGACTCGCAGATAGCCTTAACTCGGTCAAGAGGAATTGGTTCGCATAAACGAACCTGCCGACAATCTGCATGTCTGACAATGACGCTGAATAAGCCTTACTTGTCTATCACCACGTAGTTCTCCGCAAGGGTGGAAAGGATTTCTGGGATCACTTTTAAAATAACCATAAGTCAACTCTAACAGGGCAAAAGGAAGCATGCAGATCCAAGATAATAACCATCGCAATCTGAAAGGAATCGATACAGTCAAAAGGTATGAGAGAAGACTCGCAAGAGACTTGCGGCAAACCTTTGATTACGAAAACATATCCGCAGGTCTTGATCGAGGGCGCCAGTGTGACACAGCCTGGGGGACCGTGTCACCATTCACACTCGGCATGGTCATATCCAAAAGCGCATTCATCAAGGTGAAGCCGTCACCAAGTACGTGATGCAAGTTAAATATGAGACTTGTGCGAGTGAGGACTCGCTGAGCTACTTCAACACGCTCATTTACCTAACGCAGACCAGACGTTGCCCCCGTGTACCCATGCATAGGGCTCCCACCATAAACACGCGCCACGGTGGAAGGGACTTCTCGAAGGGCTGCTGAACAGAGT